TTTACCTACTCGTTTAATTTGATCTGAAAGTCCTGGAATAAATGGAATGAAAAGGTTCGTAATAAGTTTATTTTGATTTTGTCTTGTTCGTGGGAATTCAATTTCGTTAAAACATTTTTCCTGATTTGAATTGAATTCCCACGAACAAAACAAAATCAAAATAAACCTTCGTTCTTATTGCGAAATAGGAGCACTATTTATCAATCTGTAATAAAAGACGTGAGTAAATTCTGTCTTTTTCAAAGACAAAAATTTTTGAAGCAAAATACCCAAAAAGAGGTTTGTAAAAAAAATCCAAAAAATTGATGTGCCAATTAAAATGGAAAAAAACGATTAAATAATGTTGTTGTTTATACTTTATTTACACCATCAGCGATAACCATCTAGCCAAAGTATGACCTGGTTGAAGAAATGGCGTAATTTTTCAGTTTTCCTTTAGTCATCGATTTTTTCGTCACATCGATTTAACAACGAATCCAATTAACGTGAATGCTGCGGAATTATTTGCAACATACAATGCGAAATTGCAACATGCGACTACATTTTTCACGGTCTTAATACTCTCGATTGGGTACATTTTGTGAGATTTTTTCTGATCGATTTAGTGCAATGTTTAGAAAGTTTCCAGCTGAAAGCTGATCTCGATTATGTTTTCCATTAAAATCAACTTTTTTTAGTGGTTTCCATCCAAACTCACTTTGGACAATGCCTTTGCCATCTCGAAAGTTCCAACAGTATCCATATTGGAGGCCATAACTGGAATGCCATTATAATCCTGCTTGGAGTTTCTGAAGGTAATATGTCGATGTAAGTTCACCTGGAAAATACATCTTTTTGTAATTTTTCCCAATTTTTTCCCTTTTTTAGCCTTAATTTTACGAACTTTCAACATTGTAGTTGGTTGGTTGTAAATCATTTTGCGTATCTAATGCGGATCGAAAACACAACTTTGCATTAATTTCCGGATAAGGGTTCAATAAAATGATAAAAGCAGACGGATTGTAAACTTTTATGAATTTAAGAGAATTCTTAGTGAGAAAAACACTGTTTTTGAAGTCTGCCTAAAAGCGCTCTTGGTTCAGCAAAACTGTGCCTAACTAAATGTTTCTCTTATTGGACTCTTTTAACGCTGTTTTTCAGACGAAAACCTTTATGAACAGGGCGGCAAATTTTATTAAACTTTTTACCGCAGACGATATTTGCTTAGAGCTTGAGATAATAAAAACCTACTTACCGATAAACACATGCCAAGTATTTGGGTGTTAAGATATGCAACATTGCGACAATTCACCGTAATTTTGGCAATAAAACAGTTAAATGAACATTTTCCGTGCAAGTACAGTTTTTATTCCAAGTATTTTCTTAAACTCCCGGCAGGATTTTCTCGCGCCGCGAAAGCGCTGTAGAGGAATATCGATATTTGTGCTTTTACCATGCACTCATGATTTTGACGATCAGCCAAAAACTCTTTTTAATATACAGGGTGGCAAAAGATTCTTGATCTAGCTTAGATCCAATCTCGATATTTGCATCCAACTGTACCAATGTAAGAATGAATAACATAATGGGAATGTACCTAATTAGAGATAAAAAATGTCCTTAGGAACAAAAAATAAAAAAGCATTAAATGAAGGTTTGCACGTAAGACGTAATTTATAAAAAAAAACATTTAAATGGAAATTTTGGAAAGAAACAAGTGTTTGCGACTCTTCGAACTCGGTACTTTACACCTACCGAATCCAATGCCAAATTCTCGTGGTTTTTTGCATGCGACAATCTACGGGTTAAGGTGTAGGCCACCCCTTATATCACACGTATGTTTAGATAATGTTTTTCGCCTTGTTCCATTGAACGTGACGCAACTTTCTTTAAGCACCATGTGCGCTTTACTTAATTTAGATAGGAAAATGTGTTGCAATAAGACTGGTTTTATCACTGTTGGACTTAAAGCATCCGAAATATTGTCAACTGGCTCTCAATTTATTAATCATCTGGTTGTAGTCGCATTGGCGCTTGTATTCAGCAATTGATTGATTAATTTTAATCAGTCCGGCAGACGGTTGATTATTCAACACATAAATAGAAGCTCTCTGGTGTTAAGTTCAATTTGGGTCAAGATGGGAATTATGAGATTGCAATTAATTGCAAAAATCATGAACAATGTGACTGCTAACTACTTAGTAAGAGGGGAAAGAGTGTCGTTCTTGGGATTTTTCATTAACATCCAGTTTAAAAAATTCTTTACATCCCTGCCATTGGATTAGAAAAACAAAGATCAAGTTTCAATCTTTTCCAAGGATGCTAACTCATAAAGGAGGCACATTCTTGGCATCTGCAACATTTTTTATTTTTTCGATAAAAAATTCCGCTATGAAACTACCAATTTTTTGTGTTCTCAGGGACGAAACTATGGATACAGTAAAATCAGGACAAAATCAATAAACTTACATCACTGCGACTCCTCAATGTGGACCTTTTAGGGCGAAGCAGCACGTCCTTAAAGTCCAGCTTGATTTCATTGATAATGTTGGGCATTTTAATGCAAGAGAAAAAAAAACCCGAACGCGACAATAAGCCTGAGTACGGATAAAAATAACTTTCAGCTGACTGCCTGCAGGATTACGTACTAAAAGCAAATTAATTCTGCTGGTGTGCGCTCAACTGGCGAAAATCCATTTCGAAATACTCGGGTTTTACGCGCAGTCGCTTAGAATTTATTATTTTTGTCTTTCCACCTTTTTGGTAAATTGTCGATTTTTTATCTTCGGAAAATGCACTGATGACATCCTTTCCTGTCCACTTCAAGAAGATTTTTAGGCCTTGAAACATTCCGCCTCCAATATTAGCCTCCACCAACGTTGCCGATTTTTTCGATGGAAATTTCAATGTTTACATTCGACGCTTTTTAAGTCAATTTCTTAACCTCCAATTTACCAAACCAATTGTTTACCTGGTAAATGGAAAAACGCATTTAACTCAACAGAATGCCAGAGCTGAAAGTGACCCCTTTGGGGGCAGGCCAAGACGTTGGCAGGAGCTGCATTTTGCTCTCAATCGGTGGAAAAAACATTATGTTGGACTGTGGAATGCATATGGGGTAAGTTGGAGCTGAGGGGCAAACCGCCTTCGGAAGTCTGTGAAGGTACCGCCCTATGCTTTCCTCCAAGGGAACCATTCACATCCCAGTGTGCTCCCAGTCGAATAATAATGGTTTAACTTTGTTTTTTCTAGTTACAACGACGAAAGAAGATTTCCAGACTTCACATACGTAACTCCCGATGGGCCTCTTACTTCCTACATAGACTGCGTGATCATCTCTCACTTCCATTTGGATCATTGCGGGGCTCTTCCGTACATGTCTGAAATGGTCGGGTACAATGGGCCGATTTACATGACGCATCCGACCAAAGCGATTGCCCCCATTCTACTGGAGGATATGAGGAAAGTGTCTGTGGAAAAGAAAGGTTCGCTGCCTAAACGTCCATTAATTGGGCTTTTTAAACGTGCTTCTCTTCTAGGTGAACAGAACTTTTTCACATCGCAAATGATCAAGGATTGCATGAAGAAAGTGGTTGCTGTTACACTCCACCAGTCTGTGATGGTAGATAATGAACTGGAAATTAAGGCTTATTATGCAGGGCATGTTTTAGGCGCTGCCATGTTTTGGATTAGAGTCGGGTCGCAATCGGTGGTTTACACTGGAGATTACAATATGACTCCTGATAGGCAAGTGTGTTTTTCTTAATGAATTGGATTGAGAATCGCTTATTTATAGGCATCTAGGAGCGGCCTGGATAGACAAATGTCGGCCTGATCTTTTGATATCAGAGGCCACCTATGCCACTACCATAAGAGACTCGAAACGGTGCAGAGAAAAGGACTTTCTCAAGAAAGTGCATGAATGCATCGACAGGTTATTATGCAGGAGCGTGATGTAAATTTCGTATAAATGAGTTGTTCCAGAGGGGGAAAAGTTCTTATACCCGTTTTCGCCTTGGGCAGAGCCCAAGAGCTCTGCATTCTCCTGGAAACGTACTGGGAAAGGATGAACCTGAAGGCGCCGATATATTTCGCTCTCGGCCTCACAGAGAAGGCCAATAACTACTACAAGATGTTCATTACATGGACGAATCAGAAAATCCGAAAAACGTTTGTTCAAAGGTTCGAATCGCAAGCTTATGCGTCTACACGCGCCCTGATGGTACCTGTTTTTTAGGAACATGTTCGATTTCAAGCACATAAAGCCGTTTGATCGACAGTTTATAGATAACCCGGGGCCGATGGTGGTCTTTGCCACTCCTGGCATGCTGCACGCCGGTCTCAGTTTGCAAATTTTTAAAAAATGGGCCCCTAATGAGAACAATATGATCATTATGCCAGGTAAATAGATTGGGAATGTATTTGTTAAGAATTGGTCAAACATAAATGCTATTTTCGGCAAAACTTGACGCAGTGGTGGAACTTCCACTTTCGTCTCGTGTAATGTAGGACTATTTTCAGGTAGTCAATTAAGACTAAAATTAAACTAATCTAAAACGTCGTTCTCAGGTTTCTGCGTGCAAGGAACAGTTGGCCACAAAATCCTCAACGGAGCCAAGAAAGTGGAATTTGAAAACCGACAAATTGTGGAAGTTAAAATGTCTGTTGAATACATGAGCTTTTCAGCGCATGCAGATGCCAAAGGTACTATTTAACTCCTTATGTTTATGCAAAGGTTTCTTGTGCTGTGCTGAACATGTTTGTCTTTTTCTGCATTTTACATTATTCATTCTTTCCGATAAATGTTAATGGGCGTGTTTTTTCAAAGGCATAATGCAGCTGATACAATATTGTGAACCTCGCAACGTAATGCTGGTACATGGCGAGGCTGAAAAAATTGCGTTCTTGAAGGAGAAGATTCAGCAGGAATTTAAAATCGACTGCTTCAATCCAGCTAATGGTAAGTTAGGCAAAACATGCAAAAGCATTGCAAAATTGTTGTGTTTTTCAGGTGAAACTAATATAATTTCAACCCCCGTGAAAATCCCCATCGATGTATCGCTACCGCTTCTGAAGGCAGAGGCGAAAAAGTTCAACGCTTTGCCTCCAGACCCAAAGAGACGCCGGATCCTGCATGGTGTTTTGGTTATGAAAGACAGCAACGTTTGTCTTATGGATGTGGACGATGCTTGCAAAGAAGCTGGGATCAACAGGCATGTAATCAGGTAGGCGGCAGCTGGATTTAGTGGGTAAAAACTGTCCATACTTTCCCACAAACCAGGGAGAGTTAAATACGTTTTGACCAGCCATTACAATGGAAATTTTTCATTTAGATTTACATCTACAGTGTCCATAAACGATAATGGACCGTCGGTTTCCACCGCTCATAAGTTGCACACCTTTCTTACCGATAAATTGCCTCAGTGGGGGGTGACGTTCTCCGAAGGGGAGATTTCAGTGGAGTCCGTCTTAGTTAAAGTGGAAGGAGACGATGACGAGTCGCAGAAAACCGTCTATGTGTCGTGGACAAATCAAGATGAGGATTTGGGCAGTTACATTCTAGGCTTGATCAACGTGATGGGCCAGTGAAAGTTGATATCCTGTGATTGAAGCCCTTAAGGAAATTAGTCAGATTGTTGCTTCGTTGAAAAACAGTGTTTTGTTCATGGTATGTATACCTGAATAAATACATCAAAAAACTAATTTTGTAAAATGTAGCGTCAATAAATGTTACTTTTATGTACGTTTTGCAGAAAAGCAGACAACGGTGCGAATTTTAGTGAAAACAAAGTGTTTATGAGGTGTGGGAACTAAATATATATATTTCAAACTCGATTATTTACTACACAAGCCACTCAGTTACAACTATTTTGCAGATACGTAAACTATTCATAGATGATATAAAATACAAAAAACCGTCGAAACATTCTAATCACATTGAAGCATTTTGGTTTGCCACTCGATGGGAGACAGTATTTCCTTAACATTAACAAATACTGCACTGCCCAGTGCTTTTTCATTTTCATATAAAAAGTCCAAATATAAAATTATTGAGATCATTCAGTACATAACTATTCATGCTTTTTTTGTTATATCAAATGGCGCTCCAGAATGCCTCTTTCCTACATACTACGAAAACTTAACCGAATGTAAATTGCTGATTAATTTTAGACAATCAGTGCACATTAGAACCGTTTGCTAATCATTAAATATAACTATGAATAATCCATAAAGAGCGATAGACACAACAGTCAATTAGTCGTAAAAGAAAATGCAAAAAAACTCGAACGGTATAACAATTCAATAAATAAACTAAGTAGATTTTGGCCACAAAACTATGTTGCCAAGATATTCAGGTGGTTTAATCTCAGATGAGAAAATGTGTGTTTTGTACTTAAATTTTTTTATATACAAATATACTCTTTGAAGTACAAAACAACTTTTTCTATTTTGATTCTTTGACATTGAATTATTTTCAATTAATTAATACAAAACGTGAATCAACAGGTTTTTCAATTGAAATACCTGTTGCTACACGTGAGAACAAGGCTCTACTTATGCCATGATGTCACAAGTTGAAGGGCAGTTAAGACGTGTATAAGTAAGTTTTTCAAAAACGAAATCCCAGGAGAACTAATCTAAAGTAACTTAAGTTATGTGAATGCCACTGCCGGATTCCCAGCACTTAAACGGCATCGACACTAGCATGTGTCGGAGTAGTGTGCCCGTTTGTTTGGGTGTAGTCGACACTGTCTGGCTGTAACAGGGGGCTTTGGGACCGATTGGAGGTTCCACTACTGCTCTCACGCGAGTTGGAGCTGTCTGAGTCACTAGAGTCCGTTTCGGAGTCGGCGGAGTCCGACTGCTGCTTCTGGCATTGTTCCAGTTGGGCCTTCAGCAGCTCGATCTCCCGTTTCAGAGCCTCCCTTTCCTCGTTCTTGTTCTCGATTTCCAGTTTCAGACTAGAGATAATTGTTAGCAGCTCTGTGCTGCCTTGTGTGGCGCTGGTATCCAACGCAATGTACCTTTCCACGAGCTCTTGCTTGGTCATCTCTTGCAGCTGCTCGATTTTCATAGTATGGTACTGATCGTCGAACTCTTGCATGAAGTACTGCGTGTCGTCATCGCCTGGCGATGAGAAGAACTCCTCTCCATCTGAGTCCACACTGAAGCTGGAGTCCCTGGTCCTGGACAGGCTGGCTGTGGAGGCCTGATCAATGTGCCTCAAACGTTCGTCCAACTCCTCGAAGCCTCCATGGTCCTCAATGAGGAACTGGTTGTCGTTATGCGGCGCCTCCGGCTTAACAATGCCCAACTTGAACGATTTGTTCGTTTTCCTGCCATACTTTTGATAGGGATTTTTCCGTTTGCATTTCCCGCGGCGCGTTCGCTTCTTCTTCGGCAGCGCATGATTTGCAGGCGCGTTCGGATTCGACTGGGGCTGGGCTGTTGCGCACGCATCGTTCTGTGTGGGAACGGCGTCTTGAGGTGTAGGAGCGTCGGCGGATGATATCGCCGCGTTTTCCATGCTTACCACTTTATTTTCTTCAGTCATTTTTGCTGGATTTGCTTACTTGGCACTTACAGACACTAATTAAACTATTCACTCTGGACTGGTATTCGGGAGCAGCACAAACTTTGACTTAATTGTTAGAGCGAGCTTACACGACTGTACGGATATCGCCATTTTCCTTTGGTTTTGCTTTTATTGTTCATGTTGAACGTATGGGTGCGCTGCTGACGCCGGAAGAGAGGGTGGGGGACAGAAACTTTCAATATAATTATTGTTACATAATGTGCTAATGAATGTTTATTCCACATTGTGCGCTTAAGAGCACATAAAATGCACCCTCTAAGCGACAAATTTCCACGGACTTTATCGTTCAATATTTGCTATTTTTCAACCAATTTCAAATCAAATCCAATTATATTTGAAACGCTGTTGTCAGTTGTCAGCGTTTTGATTGCGCTTCCAGGAAAACGATTTTTTATTATTGCAGATACTCCACTAGTTTGGAAACTGAGGGCAATATTTTTGCTAACACACTATTGAGTTAAGCTTCGCCGCCTTCGACTAAACGACGAAAAAACGCCTAGTTGCGCTTTGAGCCGAAATTTGGTATTGAAATCAGGCAAAGAGAATCCGTTTAGCAACATTGGGCAAGGACGTTTCCCGGAAACCGTCAACTATCAACTATCAACAAATGGGTACTTTGTCAGGTTATGGGATTGTTTCCAAACAATACATAAAATTTCCAAATATTTGCACCACTCGCCATGGAAAAAGCCTTGGAACCAGTCGAACTATGCACAGAACCCTATAGTTTTTCGAATCTTTCAGATTCTCTAAAATCACTTTCAAATTGCGACCAGAATGGTAAGTTTAGACCATTAATTCCAAAGCTTAATTCGAACTGAATCGTTTAGGTAAAGGTAGTAAAAAGTGGCTAAAATGTAAGCCTACATATCAAACGAGTTATTAGGAGCCTGTAAAATATAAATCAACAAGCTCCCTTCGGAATCAAATACAAATTTCCCAGATATAATTTGCCTGAGCTTTAGAACGACGCCCTTTAGCCAACCGAGACATACTACATAGTTGCTTATAATAACAAGTAAAATTTGTTATTTCCAGAGTCTACAGCCTCGTTATTCAATACGCTAGTGCAAGCAATCGGGGAACTACAACTCAACCGCAGCACCCCAATAACTGACGTGAAAATAGGCAATGTTCCTGCAGAAACAGTTCTAATCAACTGTTTGAAACAGCTGAGACTTAAAGTGACTAACAAACATTCCTGTGACTATGTTCTGGAAAATGCCGCCAAGTTTTTACCAGTTCTGGATACCCTTGTACACTACATATTAACCGAAGAAAATGCTACTGCATTATACACAAAGTATTTGCTGCATGTTTTGATAAACTGGTTGAGCTGTAGCAGCGAGCAGGAGAACAGCGAAAGAAGCATTTTGCTGCAAAAGTACATTTCCTCAAATAAACTGCAAGCATTTTTCTGCAATGCTTATGGATGTTTTCACGAAGTAAGCGCCTTGCTGTATAATATCCACCGCAGCAACTGCTCGCAAATCGAGGACATTGATTTAATCGAGTCCATCTTGTTGCATGATGTTCATCCGAATACCTCCAATGAATATACGGGGTTTTTGGTGGAGCTGTTAATGTCCCAGAATTATGTTTGGGCCAGTTATAGCCAGTTGAAACACCAAGCCAGACTGGCGCTTCAGGATTCATTGAGAGACAATTTTATTGCCGATAAGCCAATGGAAACTTTACCTGAAGAGTGTTTAAAATGCCTGTGCCACGCTTTTAAAACGTCCATTGATGTGGTTTTCCAAGTTTCCAAAGACAGTAAGCATACATTTGTTAATGTGTAGTGCTTGTAGTAGCAATGAAAATTAACGTTTCAGATGATTTGTCTGCGATTCGAGAAGTGGCACTTGTGCTGGAAAATATCGGGCATGCAGCCAGTGTTGAAAAATTCTTGCACATCCTACAAAAAGATAAGGATTTACTGGTGAATGCCGGCGTGCTCTTAATCAATGTTCATCGACTTGGACAAAGTCCCGATCACATTTTCACTCCGTTGAAAAAACTGTCTACTATACAAGATGATGAGTCGTTGCGAAGCCCCATAACGGGGTTCAAAGCTGATCTGATTCGACTTGTTGGGAATTTGTGCTGGAAAAATCGAACAATGCAAGATTTGGTAAGTGCGGTTTTAGGTTTAAGTGCTGCAGTTTTGAAAACCCGTATTTTGTAGGCAAGAGAGGGTGAACTGATTCCGGTACTATTGGACTCCTGCAATATTGATGCCAAAAATCCATGTATCCTTTTTCATATGTTTTTGCAAGATTGCAAAGCACTTTTGGTTCTTTAGATTCGAAATTAATCGGTTTTGGTGGGGGACGATCTTTATTTGAAGCTGGTGAACTTTTCGCGCTTTTAAGCGGCAATAGAAAAGAATTTATTTCTGCTGTTTTGCAAGCCCGAGTGAAGTTACTTGTGAAGATTCACCATTGTACATACTGAAGAACATCCAATGGAAGCAGACCAGACTGTTCTGGCATCGGGTTTGATACAATCTTGTCAGTGAAACAATTCCTTAACATACATAGTTATAATGCAATGGGCGATTTTATCGCTTCGAATTATCTGCGATTGCAATCAGGAAAATCAAGCGATCATTGCAGGCCTTTCCAAGCAAGGCGTGATTAAACCCGACGCTCTGCAGGAATTGGGACTTACGTTGCATGCAGACGGGGAACGAAAAGTTGGTATTATTCGTCTAGATGTCAATGAATAAATTGCATTTTATTTATTTCTGGTTTTATTTTAGTTCCTGCACCAATAACGGATGTTTTTACGCATTATCGTGGAACTGCATTGGAGACATTCTGGACGCATTGGAGAATGCCGCGTTTGGGTGGAAGTTGATTGCAGTTTATTCAGGTAAGTTTCCGATTTTTATCCTAGATGTCTTGCTAAGTTTCGCAAAAAGGGTAAACCCGGAAAACTATTCTACTAGGAAAAAACAAAAATTCGCAATATTAAAGACAAACTGCATTAAGAGCATTCACCTTCCAGTCGTCATTTCCGTATAAAATAAGTTAGTTTATTTTTGAAAGGTACTTTAGCGGCATCAATCTCTTTGAGAAAATCCACGCTTGGAAGCCGTCGCGCCCATTTGCGTGTTAATTGGAATTTAATCCCTTAATGCGATTTTAACTAGACAATTAAAGGGCAACATTTGGCATTATCTGAATACAATTACGCTGCTCAAAGGGATGATAGGGAGCCATGAGGGGCTGGAAACCAGGCCTGGATAGCGAACAGTTTCGTGCTACATTTGTGTGAATTTAAGCAAAATGTGAAGAAAGAAGAATTCCTAGATTTTCAAATAGTTGCGATTGTTTCTTCTGGGATTTGGGAGTTTAATGTGACTGTTGAAGCTATAAGTTTAAATTCCAAAACTTCTGAAAATACTCATTTTCTATTGGCCAATCAGCTGTGGTACGCACGGTTTTTCTTTCTTCTAACACAGATTTATGCTTCTTTTGTTCAAACTATCGCAGATAATGGGAAAATTGCTATTGTTTTTGCATAAAGCCATTAAGCGAACGGAAAAGGGCATTATTAAGCTGAAGCTACTATCTTTCGACACATTCCAGGCCTTCGGTGCGTCCTTAATAAATTTTCAGACTTGATAAGCTTCTTGAATTGTTCTTGCAGTTCAGTTTCCCCGTTAGTCTTGTTGCAGGTGTCATTTTGATAAGAGCATTTTCAGTGATTAGTTTTCTCGGAAAAATGCACGATTTCCTCATTTCCATTGGAAATTGAGAAATGTCTGATTCTTTTGTTAATTAGGTTTTCGATTGGAGACATGAAGAGAGTGAAGTCGTAACTGCAGCTGTTGGGAATTGTGCTCAATATGAGGAAATACTGGATTATTTGGTGAGTTTTTTAATTCTTTTATTATTCACTTATAAGTGGTCTGTTGTTGAAGCAAAATTTTTCGGCTTCAATTTCTAAGCTTTATTATAAGAAACATATTTTATTACATAAAACTTTCAAAATGGATAAAAAAACATCTTTAAACGGGGGTTTCTAACAATGAGCGGAAAATATGCCATGTTTTATGGCATCAGGATGTCATTCTTTTAATGTGGGAGATTGTTAAGCAACTATAGAAGTCAAATAAGGCTCTTTATCTTCGACTTATTTACTTTACGCAGATAATGTTGCGTATGGTGAGAATTCGGAGAAGAGGCTTTGTTGGGTTTTTAGTTCAATTAGGGAACGATCAGTTTACAAAACTCCATCAAGTTTTAGCTCTCCAGGAACGGAAGTAGTTTCGAAATATGCCATCGAATTCCAGACTAAATCCGAGCAATGATAAAGTAATTTGAAAAAATCCAATTCTCTATTATTAACTAAACAATGCACATCAGTAGAGCCAATTCTGCATGACCGATTCAGCATCATTCAATATCCAAGTAGCCATCAACAATACAGCCGGAACAAAAGAGCTAAAACAAACGATTATTGCCAAAACGAATTAGCAAATGTTCTTTTTTTTTGAGCTTCCGTGATTTCAACAAAACACAGGAACTACAGCCCACGGTTCAGTATGGGATTTCAAAGTTGTCTCGACAGGCAAACCGTTTATTAAATATGATGGCATTAAGCTGGCATTAAAAGCGTTTACTGTCGTTTAATAATGGTTGTTCACTTTGTGAATATCGGCTTACAAAATGATGCATTTATGTGGATGCTGTACGAGCTCAAATTTACTTTCAATCTTTTAAGGTGATTAAATTTTTTTTCCGTTCGAATTCGAATATCTTCACCCGACAAAAAAATCGGTTTTGTTGCCGATCTTGTTTACGGAGGCTGCGAAAGCCTGACAATAATTGTCGGAGAAATAAAGCGCTTTTCTGCTGTGATCGATTTTGGTGTGAATCTGACAATGTTGATTTTTCGTTTGATTTGTGCCCAATTTGAACAAAATATTGTATAAATGCTCCACATTTTTGTCAATCAAACCATTTGGCAATTTAGCAGTTTGGATGTTTAAGGCCGAATTTGGCCATAAATATCTCTTATTATCCTTAGAGACGAAAATCGAATAGTTCCTTAAGAGGTTTCATAAACGTCTCTAAGTCGCAGCCCGGACAGCCATGTAGATTTACAATGGAAAGCATTACGGTTTGAAAGCGTCGGAGTTTTCCATTTAAAACCGTAAATATCGACAAACCATGCTCATATTCATATCTCACCGCGAGATGTATATTAGCCAATATTATTTATTCGTTGCCGCAATGTTAAGTCTTTAGAAGAGGCTTTTATAGGTATCGTGACTTCTTGAGGTTTATGATGTAGAAGAATTTAAAGAGGTTTTTATAAAATATGACTCCGACAACGAAACATCTCTATTAGACGATTGCAACGATGTAGATATGTTGAAGATTTACGTGAAAATGAGCTTCGAAATTTTTTTGTATTACGTAAATCGCTTTCAGCGAGATTTTTCAGCTGGAAATCGTCACAAAAATGCAAATTTGTACCTACTTATCAACATGGCAAAATTCAATTGTTTTTCCTTGACGTTTCGCAAGCAGGATTGGCTTGCATCTTCAGAGGTAGTTGCTACTTTTCAGATCTTCAAAACTGTCGTCATTGAGCTAAAGAAAACCTCACTTGATGAGAGATTTTCTACAGAAAACTAATCGCTGAGCCGGAATAGTAAGGATAATTCTTCCTTCTAAATAGCTAGCATTTCATCTGCAAGCGCATAAAACCCCCGACTTTCTCCTAATCGCATACCATTTTCCCGTACACCAGCAACAGTTAAACCGGCAAATAATAAAATAAATTTCACCAATAAAACGAGCAAACTATCAGTGGACACATTGGCAAATGTGTTTGCCTTGTCCGCAATCCTATCCATAAATTCCGGTAAAAAATTGAAACATACTGTATAGACTCACAAAGAAAATCCGCAAGCAGTAAAAAGATAAATGGCGTTTCGTTGGGCTTTCATGTTCATAATTGCATTTGAATGCTAATTATTCGGTTTTTGTTTGTTGCAAGCAATGTTGGGAATTTATATGCCCATGAAGTTACGACCCGATGTGGGTAGAAGTCGAATTTCGATAAAACTTTTTTTGCGAAGTCCTTATAAGAACATCAAATTGAAAGGCGATTGCTTTATGAATTAATCAAAGAGTAGAAGTTGGTTTTGGAGAGCGTAAAAATTACATGCAGGAAATTCAGGAAAGAAAATAGAATTTTCCAGCTTTGACTAGTCGTTTTCTGTTTTTTTTTATTTTAATTTTCTGTTTGTTTGAATATTTTCGGGTTTCCGCTGTTGCTTTCTTCTTGTGGAGTTTCAACTTTATGCTATTCTTTGATTCATTAAAAAATATAAAGTGTTTAATACAAAAATGGCTTCAACTTTCACAGGAAAACCAAATTTTTTTGCCTGACTTTTCGTCGATTGTTGGGATGGGTTTTATTTCTATATGGTGATTTTTGCAACAACCTGCGCAAGAATCGAGAAATGCTACCGAGGAGAATCGCCGATTTTAACTTTTTTCATCAGAAAGTTTTTTGCAACTTATAATTTTTTTTATAAATATTTCAAAACAATGACTTTTTGAATTGTTTTTTGGAAGTGAACTGGAGGCAAAAGCTTTCATCCCAATGAATTCAACAAGACAAAACGATATGAAAATGAGTTAAAAAAAGCATGTTTCAAGCTAATCAAAATGGAAATTGCCCTGTAAATATGCGTTGTTAAACTATTGCTTTCCCGAAAAGGGTCATAAAATCGTTGAATGCACATCTGCATTAACAGTTTGGTTGGCAATATCTGTTGTTAAATGCCATTAGATAATCTTATCTGTACAGATAGATATCCCGTAGTTTCACTATCATTTGCATAAATCATGAAATGTTGGCGGCTAATAATAAATTTGAAAATTAACCAACGCTTGACTTGATGTAGAGTAATTTACGACTAATTTATTGAAAAACATAAACATAATAATATGATGAATATAGCCTGGGAGATGTCGGCAAGATACTAAATTATTGTAATAATAGGAAATTTATGAGAGTTGGGCCTATCTAGGAGAGGTTCGATTAAACGTATTTTATTGGCTTGGGGCTCTTACACTTTGTAAAACTGGTAGTTCTAAGTAAAGGTTAGGAAAATAGGACTTTGGGGCTGAAACCTATGGAATTTGGGGCAAGCTATTGATTAGATCTGCTTGGTAATAACGCCTAAGGATTTTTTAATTAAAAAAATATAATTTTAACACTCCGCACTAAAATTCTAGAAAAATCAAATTTCTTTGCACAGAATTTCCCCATACGTTATAAAGAAATTGTATGCAATAGAAACTGGATTTTTTCTAGGATTTTAGTGCGGTTCAATGCAAATGCGTATTATTGAGCGTTTTAAGCGCATGTGAGTAGAAATGCTCAATGGAAAATGATTTAGAAGTGGGAAGAATTGATTTAATGACAATACTGATAATTCAACTGATGATTTTTATTAATTTATATTTGCCTTCTAGTGCTTTCTGGATTATTTTCAATTTGTGTCACTTTGCGCAATAATAACGTGTTGTGTTCTTCTCATTTATTACATAAATCTTCAATAAAAATGCCTTTTTATGTTTTGGGTTATCGACTTGTTTGCACTTTTGCCCCTGCGAAGAAATTCTGCTCCCAGCAGTGAGGATCATTTTTAAATAAAATTCGTGCTAAACGCTTCTTATAAGGACTCAGGCCTTAGCCATTTTAAGGGTGTGTATGGAAAAGTAGTTCTTTGCGCGATTATGACCATGTATAAAGGCTCCCCGTAAAAATGACCGCAAATCACGGAAACCTACCAACTCAAGTTACCGACTATTACTTTACAATTTATTACCGCTAACCAGTTTTCACAATATTGTGTTACCGCACGATCGGTATTTCATATTTATTAGTAATTTGGTTTGCAATAATTAGCGCCTACATAACATAACAATATGAGTACAGAGGGGTTCGGCTCGTTTCTATTGGACGATCAGGTCAGGTAGGACTGCGGCAAGGTGGAAAGAGACATGAAAGAGAACAGATCAACCTGACCGGTATATTCCATCTTTCATGTCCATACCAATGTGTATCTCTTTCAGTTTTTGATTCGCTGCATCCTCACGAGGACCAAAAACTCAGCACGACCGTCCGTCCGCATGACCCGATCTGAGATCGATTGATTTTGGTTCCGAGCACTTGGCTCGCAATTATTCGCAATATGATGCACCGTTGATTAATTGTTTGAATTGTTTTTTTCTCGCCATAATGAGGCTTGAAACGATTTAGGTTTGTTGAAGTTTTGTGGAAAAATTGCCAGGTAAAATTCTCGCGCAAAATTGTGACCTCAGTGATGTTTGGTGATTTAAGTGTGCAATGAATTTGATTCCGTCTTCAGCTGTTCAGCATGGTCCCTAGAGACTTTGGACGGGGCTTCAGGGCACTTGTGGTGCTTGTTTTGTGGTATCAACAGTTTAGGTAATTTATCATTAATTTTCCTATGAATAAGAAGAAAGTTATTGAAGTCAATGAATTTAATGAGAAGTTTATTTATTGAAAAAAAGGCAACGATTGGTTACAAAATTTCTTCTTAGAACTCATATTAGACTAAGGAATTTCATGAGCCTTCCTCAGTCTAGACAATAAACTTTTTTCAGCGAGGGAAGGATATAAAGGCAATAAAAATCGTTTTCAGGGCACATCATTAGAGAACAATGGTTTATAGACGCAATTAACGGTCAGTTTTCTCTTAAACTATTCTTTAACCTGCCAGATATTTAACAGCCTGATGATTTGAGAGACTTCCTAGGCGAAACGTTGCGATCATTGGAAAGGCTGCTAATGAGTTAATTTTGGAAAATTATAAAATATTTCCAACAGTTGTTACTCGTATATATTCGCTTTGGTAAAATTTATTGCATTTATCTTATTTTTTAAGTTCTCATTTTCTGCGTCTTTATTTTTCTAGTGAGAAAATCAGATTTAGATTTTTTTCCTTTGCGATTTTTTCGTTTGTGTTGCTCGTTTTGTTGTAAAACTCGATTTTATCTTTTATTATTCAATGGTTATTGTGCGATTTTTGATGCAACAAACAAGCTGATTCACGTACCTCTGTTTTATTGAGTGTATTTTTAATCTTCAGTGTTTAATTATGTTGAACAAGGATTCGTATTTATGGTCCTATTGTTCGCTGTGTTTAATCTTTATTGCGACTGTTGTTTAGTTGGTGTTTTTTGCAGTTGCGATTTTTCTTGCTGGTCAAGTTTAGGAAAAACCCTTGTTTGGATCAAATGTTTTATTAGGGTTTTGTGTTTCGACATTAATCAGAAATTTATTTGGATGTATGGCTTTTTTTATTTTCTTGTTTTGGGAACGAGTAACGTTTTTGCTAGCATTGCTTTGAAACTAGTGAGTTTTTCGGGTTTTCGAGTGGAAAATAATCTGTTTCGGGCGCAATTTTTTGCTTTGTTGTCTGTAATGTTTATATTTATTACTATTATTGCAAGATTTATTGCAATATTCAAATGTCATTTTTATAACAACCCAACAGATAACGCAGCACTAAAAACATTGAAATTTTATGCATAAAAATTGCTTTTTTAAATTTAAACGTCTGATGACAAAAAAACCGAAACTACAAACTAGCAATAAAAGAACATTGAGAAAAATTGCGGATCTTCATGCGCACTTAATCAACGTTTTCTCACGGCCTGCTAATAAGGCTATTTTGGCTAATTTTTATGCAAAAATGCAGATTAGTTAGCTGAGCCTGAGGAGCATTTTCATTCCGACAGGCTGGCTAATAATTAAATTAACCCTTGGCGAAATTGGCTATCAGCGAATTTTTAATTGACTGCATCCATTTCAGTTACGTCCTAAAGTCGCGTAAAATATGCGTTTGGAAAATTAATTTTTAAATTCGCTGCGTTCCTCTGTCTAGACGGAAATTGCTGCTTGTTGCAAATTTATATATTTTTTTTTAATGAATTTTAAGCTTATTTTCCTTCCTGCAACGGTGAAGGTGCGGATAAACACCTAAGCGCTAGAATAGAAATGCCAATTAGCACTATATGTATTATGATTATTATTGCAAGTGTTTAAGTAACATTCAGTGCCTTAATGAGCCACTATTGAAAATCGTCCTTTCTTGCAATATTTATTATGAAATTCTGTTAAACTCTCTGCCTAAATTAGTGGAAAAATTCGTAAAAAACCAATAAAACATTCGTAGATGTTTGGAACTGTTGTCTACGGAATTGTGTACTGTAGGAGAATCAACAGGAAATCCCTTCGTTGTTTCTCAATTCTGGTTATCTTCCGCTGATCGTTTGACGGTGAAAATCGGACGTAAAAGTTCTCAAAAAAACTGAATTTTCTTATTTGTTAGATACACGTTAATATCTGGTCAAACAAGGTTTTATTAGACGTTAAACACTGTAAAATTGCGCCTTCAAACCCAGCAACATATCGGTGTTCACACGCGCGCCACAAGCAACCGGCCCTAAAGACCTTCGAGTTCTAAGTGTTTGTGAACAGTTTGGCTGGTTTTTTTGGGTGCATCAGCATGAAAAATGGCATGCAATTTTCTGGAATAATCCGTTGCATCAGCGTCGCTGTTTTCTTGGAAAAGTGGTAAATGTTGTTATGTTCTTTTTTTAATTTATTTTGAGTTTGTGAGGCTTGTGGTCGCCTTATTACGCCCAGCAGTCGTTATTGAAGTTAATTTTCTTTGAGCATTTGCAATTCTCAAAATATTTTCCTAAATGGCAAGCTTTCTTTGCTAGTTGAGAATTGATTAAAGTAAAATTATAAAATTATTAAAATGAGTTGGTTTCTCAGGTCGCAATTTCTAATTCAAATTTGCGTAAAACTTCCGAATAAGTTCCGGTTTAAATTCATCATTTTGAAGTTAATACAGCAACTTCATGTTCAAATTCAAAAATAAAGTCCTGTATGAGTTCCATTTTGAGAAATTTTTGAAAACAAGTTAACAGTATGAATTGTCGCAATTTCAGGTTCAGAGCAGATATTTCCAGGTTGCCTTTAAAGTTTTCACTGGAAAAGAATAATTTCGAATTTAGAGGTGACACTTTTCAATTAATCATTAGTTTTTTTTCTTTTAAGCAAAACCAGAACAAAAATAGCTAATTTTTAAATTCAAATTGCGACTTTCGCCAACCATTTTTAAGTCAAATTTGAATGCAAAATTCAATAGTTCACCACTTTGAGGTGTGAATTAAGCCATTTGAGTCCGGAATAGATGATACAATAATCGTTTTGAAAATGTGTGATATTGAAGATAAAATTGGAACGAGCACGTGCTTATTTATCCCAAAACGATAACAGGTTTTTCAGCAATTTATTAGCCATGGCTTGTCAATTCATTTAATTCCAGTTTAGCTACATTTATTGGTTAATACCCGCGAATGGGTCGTAAATTATTACGGTAAAATATAGATTTTTTTGTTGTAAAAATGTGTATTTTTGAATTTAGCAATGCTGTGGTTGGTTTTATCAGTAGACGTCATTATCGTCATAAAGAGTAGATAATAATAGACTTACGACTTTTACCGACAGTACGTTTTTTCTTTCTAGTAAAAAGTTCAGCATTTTGTTTATATTTGACAATTAGTCGAACAGCTCGGGTTGTTTATGGCCGGTCGGAAACAATAGAGAAACTTGCGTGAATGGAAGGCGCGTTATGGGATTCACGTGATTTTCTAGATCAAGGGGAGGATGGGAATTTTCGTTTGTGATGCTCGTGACTGTACTTTTTAGTGAAACGGTATGCGTTGGGGAAAATCGGACTTTTTTGCGCTCATTTTTGTGATTTGGATACAACAGCTTCAGTAAGTTTTGTTCAGCTCCTTTTTACCACTTGATTATTGCCCTCATTCAGTGAGCAGATAAACTCCCCAATTTTCTTGTTTTCTTGCGATCTAAAACTGATTCCAGCAGAGGATGATTTGAAACGTTTTATTTGGCACGTAATTTCTCCACATTTTATTAAAAAATATATTTTTACGCAACCTTTTCAATCAATTTTGTTTGGTGCGTCCTCAGCGGTATCCAAGAGAAAATTTGGCGCGGCTCTTGTGCAAACTTTCGAGCGCAACACTTCTGAGGATGCATGCCACTGCTGCTGCAAAACGTTAGGAAAATATCATTTTCTCGACGGTTTTAAATGCGATTGCAGTTAAATTTGTTGTTTATATACAAGCTGTTCTAATGTAGATTCACGTGGTTGCAAATTTTTTCCATGTTAGAAAGTGGCATTGACCAGTTAATAAAATCGTTTGCAAACAATCTGTTGTCGGCATGACGTTGATTTTATGTTGTTTGCAATATGCACTTCCACAAAACCCTAGTTTTATTGAGATAATCTCGAATATGAGGGCCATAAAATGTTGTAAAGCAAATCCGGACGCACTTCCAAAAATCGTAAACCTTATGGCCGAAGCCATAGTATCCAAACAGTTTCTTCAATTTAATTTAGTTTAATTGCGCAAACAAGGAAAAGTCCATGTGACGTGATAGTGGGAAAAATGTGTTCACAGTTAATTCGAGTATAATCGGCTCTAAGCCATTATTTTGTAAATTCCACTGCTAATAATCAAATCGCGTTCAGCCCAAGTCAATTCTACACAATATTTACACGGCTGATCGATGGGTAATTGCTTTGTCAAACGTTTAAACCCGTAGTTATGTAGATTTGCAATTGCCGTCAGAAACGTTGCATTCGAGATGTTATCCGCGGAATTGCAATGATTAATATGAATTTAATCGAATATAAATCCACAAAATCCGGCAAAAAGTCACTATTAATTAGCTCACAGTCACGTTATGTGAAAGTTAAACATTGCTATTAACTAGCTGTACAGGGTGTTGGGAAATTATGCGCCAAAGTTGTACTGCATCCTTAAAGGATTGTCGCAATGAGCCAAATTGGCTATTGTTTTAAAATATGTGTTGTTTGTTAAATTGAGCCAAACATGTTCATTGTCTCGAGCGTGAAGCTTCCAAGGTGATTTTCCATGAGTTTGTTGCATTTCTCTTTTACTAATGAAATTGATGTAGAATTTGAGACATTTTGAGTGACTGAAATTTATTGAAAAAACCGACCCGTTATGAAATTTTCGGTCAAAATTCAAAAATATACGTGTGCGTTTACTGAGCTCAATGGATTCAATTCGGAGTCTATAAAAATGAAGATCGCGTCCATTAAAGACCGTGGCAGCTCCAAAACTGCTTAAAATAGGCCAAAAATGTCGATATTGATTCAGGGTGTTTTTCAATGAGTTTGTTGCTTTTCTTGCTTCCTTCGAATGAAAATAGTGTACAGCTCAGGGAATTTTGAGACACTTGAAAATTTAATTTTAGATTTTAATTCAAAAAGTGTTTTTTGAGTTTAGTGAATTGTTTTCGACCCAATAAGCTTCTTGAAATGTACATATAAAATATTGAGTCTATTAGAAGAC